GCTTCACCACGGAAAGCACGTTCCTGGAGAAGCTCAGCAGTGCTGCTGGTGGGACCTGGAGCCTGTGGTGCTTGCCCCAGGGATACCGGGCCTGAAAGGGTCCATCAGCGATGTCCCAGAAAGCCGTCGTAATCCCCATTGCTGATGGTGCTGTTGGGAGCACCAGGCTGCCTTTGTGCTTCTTCTGTACCGGTGCAATTGGTAAGAAGCAGCTTTGCTCCTGCTCTCGTATTGCCTTGCTGTTTGTGCTCTGCAGCACGTTAGTTTTCAAGAGGCGAAATCCTGCCTTTGTAGCGTTGCATTGCTGTGAAGTGCTTCCAAGCACTGTTCTGTTTTTGTAGTTTGACAGAGGAGCGCTCAGAAGTTAGTCCTAAGCTTGCTTGGGGCAACTGCTTGCAACAAATAGCTAAAATTTTCCCTTATTAATGATGCCTGTATGGTAGTGAGCCTGCTAGAGATTTAGGACTAGATCTTGTCATTTGATCACTTACTTAAAGCTGATTTTACCACTGACTATTCCATACAAGTAGAAATATGTTTTATAAATCTCTGTTTAGCTTAATTTACACATGCTTTTATGGCTGGGCCAAGTTCTTTAAGGGCATTTATTCTGCTTCATATAAATAATTGATCAGCCAAGTTAATTTACTTCTGCCTGACTTGGTCAACCTTAATTAACTGCCCTGGAATAAAGACTGAACTTTTTGTTAGCATAAAATCTTTCACAAATGTGACAAAGAGGGGATGTGTTATGACAACGTTTTTGTTCTAGCATTGTTCCCAGGGGACAGAAATGCTGGATGAACTCTGTGTGCAGATAGGAGGTTGATGAGATGGGGGCCAGCCTCTTCACCCAGGTAACCAGCTATAGGACCAGAGGGAATGGCCTCAAGTTGTGCTAGAGGAGATTCAGGTTGGATATTAGGAAGAATTTCTTCTCCAAAGCAGTCAGATACTGGAACTGACTGCCCAGTGGTGGCGGAGTCCCTGTCCCTGGAGGTGTTTAAGGAAAGTGTAGGTGCAGTACTTACGGCAGTTGAACTGGATGACCTTAGCAGTCGTTGCCAGCCTTAATGTTTCTGAGATTCTGTGTGTATTTAGATGAACCTCTAAATGCCAATAGCCAAAACAAAATCATCATCTGAACGTAGCCCAGGCTGGGTCTGGAAGCGTATTTAAAGCAGGATGTCCCTGGTCCCAAGGGGTAGCGTTTCAATGGTGATGAGATTCTTAAAGGTGTCCATTGGTGCTTTTTGCTTATTGAGGAGTCTTGAAAGTATCTCACCAGATGCCTCATAGTATGGGATGGCATCCAAACACAGCTGAGTTTCTGTCCTTCAGCCTTTCAGACTTGCAGGGGCTCTGACGGGTGCGTCACTCGATAAATCCTCCCTCCTGCTGACGTTAAACAATGCTGCCTGGTCTTTAGAAAGTGTGCTGGTAGCAGAATTGCAGGAATTGCACACTTCATTGCCCTGCCTGCTGATCTCCGTGCTTAACCTTGCTCGTCTGAACAGCCCAGTGGTGCTAAGGGATGTGTATCTGCAGCATCTGGTCTTCGTGATGTTAAAGACTTTTTAAAAAATGGATTATTAGCGTTAGCACAGAGCATTTTTAAAATTAGGACTCCTTCAGGTTCTGTCTTTTGACCCCAAACACCGACACCGGAATCCTCAGGAAGATCATTTTCAGTCAGCCAAAGTTCACATCTGACCTGTGCTCTTCTCAGTTCTGACTGTGCCCTCAGAAAAATCAGCTGTCTCCAAATCATCTGGGAGATGGCTGCTGTTGTCCTGCTGTTGATAGCGTGCCACGCTTTGGTTCCTCTCCACCGAAGTTTTGCCCCATTGCCTTGAGTATAAGGTATTAAACAGAGACAGGCCAAACCCCTGTGGCTTTGGCTTTGGCTCTGCATCAATACTGGAAAAGGTTTTGTGCAGCTTAAGACCAGAATCTTGAAAAAATCGATCTCTGTTGTGATATTTTTAAATGAAGCTGACATTAAGTGATAGAAGAGCAGTTTGTTTGATACCAGCCCTTGGATTTCAGGATTAAATTTTACAGGAAGTTTGTTGTTGTTTATACTGCAGCTTAGCATTGGACCCTGAGCAGGGGAGAAGCATCTTGTGTCACCTTTACGATCTGAAGAGTCATTCCACCCCTGGTGTGAAATAGTGTAGATTTCTATTGAAAAAAAGATACTCGTGTTGATAAGAGCCCGTCTATTTTTAGCTGTTAAAATGCATTTATCTTCGCAGAATTGATACGAGAGTCATTCTGCTTTGTGGAATGCACCAGACAGATGTGTTCCTTTGCTGTTCAGTTTTAAGTCGGAATATCTTGTGTGTCGTGGAAGCTTTTGCGCAGTACAGTATTTCCTATAGGAAATCATTACGCATAACGGCTTCTTTGGTACCATTCTGCTCACTTTGGGCTGTGCTCAGGCCAGAGTCGCAGTGGCACTAGGGACAGAGCTTCCCCTCAGTTGCCACAGAGCGTAATCGTGTCGCATGAAGTCAACCTTGATTTGCTTTTCTCTTTGGCGATTTTGAATGACAGACCTCACTAATAGGCTTCTGCAAGGCCTGCTCCTCTGTGCTGCAGTGAGACAATTATCTCAGCCATCCTCGGCGCGCCGTCACCTCCGCTCATTTAGGTGTGCTCAAACACACAAATAGTAATCATTCTTGCAGAAAGCTCTCGCAGGTTGATTTTCATGACATGACGCTTAATGATCAAACCAAACCGTGATTATTTATGTCAGCTCGCATTTGACTACGGTGAAGAAATAAACAGCTTTATCTTTACACCCTTGAAAACCCTGTTTTCCATGGAGGGCATTTCAGCAGAGTAGATTTGGTTTGTATTGGTGTCCAATTGAAGGCATACTGAAGACAACTGACTGTAAATGGGCATCCTTAAGTAAAAATTCGCTCAGAGATGTTCACTTCTGCTTTCAAACTAGCTTTTTTGAGTGAAAAGAGCCTCAGAGTGCAAGTCACCCCAGTTTTCTTTTCAATGTCCTAGAGCTTGCTTTGCACCCTCCGTTCCTAGCAGTGCTGGCAGTGCTGCTGGGAATGCTGGGTGGCACGGCTGCTCAGGTGGGCACTGCCTGTGGGACTCGGGGTGCAGGAGGGAGCCTGAAGTCTGTCCTGGAGGAAGCTTTCAGGAGCTCAGTGATCTTCTTGTTGCCGTATCCTAGAAATAATCCATCCTTCTCTCAGTCCTGTAGGGTGGAAAAATTGTAGCAACTGCTACTGTTGTTTCTTTCCAGGAGCATTCTGCAGTCCTCAAGGCAATAAATAGTTTTTTGATCAGTTTCTTTGTGAATTATTTTCTGTGACGTGGGGATATTTTGCTCAGAAGAGCAAGCCAACAAATAGTGGTTGGGCAATGATGGATCTGCTCCGTGGTGCAGTGCATTGCTCTTCTGCTGTCAAAGCATCTCCAAGCTTTGGTCGGCACTTTCCCCTCCCCTCCGTAGTAGTTTGTCCAGGTTCTTGCCTCCAGTCAATCTGTTGCATCAGAAGAGTTTGGGAATGAAAAGTCCTTTTTTTTTTTACTGTTTGAACGTACTGCTTTTAACATCTCTTTCCATGGTGGTATCTGCTGGAGGCCCTGCAGCCCTTTCTTTATGTGTTCGTGCTCAGCCAGGTGCTCTGCCTCGGAGCAATGCATGATGGTGCCATCCCCATGAAAATGAGCCTCTGGGTTTCACCTAATGCAGTCTTACTGGTCCTTCTCGTACTGGGGTAAGGGAGTGAAATACTCCACTTTGTGTCTTGAGCCTTGACCCCAAATTCAGATGGAAGGAAAGGAGTTGCGTGAATTCCTTCTTGATTCATCTCTGGTTAATGGTCATGACTGCTGAGGAAGTGATGATGGAAGGAGTCCTTGTCCCCAGCCAGTGCTCCTGTGAACTTCCTGGGAAAGTGATTTCTCCTGGTACTTTTCCATTAGAAATGCATTGTTTTCTCTCTCCCTTTTGGATTTTTATTTTCCCTTGTGTGTCAGAAGGGATATTTGTTCTTCCTCTTGAAGAGGCAGAGCATGGACAGAGGGAGGGCTGGGCTGGAGGAAGCATGCCGATTACATTTAAATCCTGTAACTTAGGGCCCAGCAGGTGGAAATGCCCATAAAACAACTCATCAGACTTCTCAAAGATAGCAGTTTGCAGCTGGAAATTGGCATACATGCTTTGCTTGGGGTCTTGTTGTGCTCGAGTCCTGCCAGTTAATTCACAGAAACATGCGCGAATCCCGAGAGACCCAGGGTAAGCAGTTGGGCAGTCCTGCTCCAAATCCTCCTCCTCCTCTTTGCTGGGAGATCTTGTCCACCAAGAGCTGAGGGCAGCGTGCTGCTGCGTGACAATAACTACCACAGTGGTATTTAGTCAAAGACACAGCTTGCTGCAAGTAAATCTGAAGCCTCTTCTCTGTATTGCCATAGTGCCTCTAAAGTCAAACCCAATCCAAGATAATTGCCCAAAAGACTATGAGCAGCTGAAGCAGTTTGCTCCAGAACATCCCAGATTCAGTCAAAATTGCTTGATAGGAATAAAAGTTGGGGATGAAAACTGAAGTGCTGAGCACTGCTTCCCTCACCTGCCCCTGCACACTGTGTATCAGGTTCTTGATGTTGTCCATCACATGTTGCAAGGGATGACTCACCGTTGCAAAGGAGATCATCCAGATGGAACTAGAGAAGTTTAATTGTGGATTCTGTGTGTTCGTTTGAAATTTTTTTTTTCTCCAAGGGGAAAAAGATGTTGAGCAAATAATACTATATTTAGAACTGAACTTACTTACTAAAATTATAGCTGTACCAACAGATAAATAAACATAAACTAGTAGCATGAACCATTAATGAAAGATAAATCGTATGAAGGGAAATGACAAATGTTTACAGTTTTGGCAGGATTTAAAACAGGGCATGTCTCCTTATATACAGCAACTGTTTTAACAGCTGCTTTTTTTTTCCCCTCCCCTAAATTATTTCAGGTTTTTGAGTCATGATGCAAGAATCTGGGACTGAGACAAAAAGTAACGGTTCAGCCATTCAGAATGGAGCGAGCGGTGGCAACCACTTACTAGAGTGCAGCCTGCGGGAGGTGAGATCAAACGGCGAGACACCTTCAGTTGAAATTGGGGCTGCAGATTTAACACATCTTCAGCAACAGCAGGTACTGTAAGACGTATTACAATTTTCCTTCTGACAGAAAAAAACACGAAGCATTAACGTCTTCCAACCCCTTTGTATTTGCCAATCAAAGGATGCTTTCAGGACCTGCCTGCCACATTCTGTACATTTTTGTCTGTAGAGGATTGCGGTCGCTGTGTACAGGGGAACGTTAGACTTCTCTTCTTGGGGTTCTTTTGGACTTCTGAGTGTGCTGAGCCTGGTGCCAGCAGTCGGGTGAGCCACTGTGTGCAAATAACTGGTTTCCCAAGTGTGTCACTGGGTGGAAAACACGCTAACGTTAAGTTTTGTTTTTGCAACAATTTTTAATATAACCTAGCAACCTCTATCAACAGAATGTTTTCTATTAGAGAGAAAGGCCGTGGAGGTATCTGCTGTGGCAGAACTCTGGGGTAAATAAATAAACACCCCGTGCGTCAGTGCTCCTTTCAGTTCACAAGAAGCAACAGAATTATGTGTCAGGGCTTTCCCTTTGTATTTTGATCAGTGTATTTTCTGGGAAGTGACCATGTTCACCGGTATGAATTATCCCTATAATACATTTTGTCTTTTTTCTTGATAAAATTTCGCAACCCTCTCAGGAAATTTTACGCTGAAGAGCTGGGCACGTGTCATTAATGTGTTTGGGAACAAAGGCGGCTGTGGAGCCACCGTGAATACACTTAGCCTAACCCTCACTTTCTCTAATGCAATAAGCATTCTTAAAACCTTTTAAATAAGCGATTGGCAGCTGGTTAAGGCTCCCCTAAGCGTACTGTGATCTTTTTAGCTGGTTGTTGAGGAGAAGAAAAACCTGCACTCAAAAACAAAGCAAACTGGAGGCTTGTAGAGGAGCAGGGGACCTGGTTTGCCAGCCTAAGACAGAAAGCTGCCGTAATTAAACGAGTCAGGAAAACAGATGACACTAAAAGCACAGACTTTGGTTGTTTCAGTTATTTTCATCGTACAGGTTTTTACTTGAAGTGAGAATACCATCAGTGAGAAAATCACAGCCATGCTGAATTCATTACTGCAGTAGTCACACAAAACCACGGATAAAATTTCAATAACTGCAGGCCACAGTTGAGTAAACAGTTGCACTGAAACTTAATTCCTGTTGACTTTTCCCTCATTCTTCGCCAGGGGCACATTCTGATTCGTAGTGCAAAGACAACAGGGGTTACAGCTTTGATTAATATAGGACAGTAGAAGAGGATTCGAACAGTAAAATATGTTCAATGCAAAGGTCTCTTCTTAAAAAGGCTTGATATCAAAATGAGTTAATTACACTGCCTTTCCATAGGGGCATGATGGAATTTTCCAGTGCTGCCGCTTGCCCGCTCCGTGCACAGTGAGGCACAGAGGACACAAACACACACGTATGTGTGCACACTGCAGACCAGAACATGCAGACCTGTGCTGTTCCTCTTATGCTCCCCGTTCCTAATCCTCACCATAGCACCAGAACCACGTGCAGAGACTGTGTTGGCCGCTGGCCGCCTTTGCGAGCAGTGACAGAGCGGCAGGATCAGTGAGTGCTGCTGGGCACAGCCAGAGCTGCTCTGCTGTGGCTCTGCGGCCCCAGCTCCTGGTTGCTCATCTCTGCCAGCCCATTGACTGCGTTCCATCAGCTCTCAGTTCTCAGGTGCTTAAAAGACCTTTATGTTTTGTGATTGGATCTTGCTGGTAGTTGGTTCTGATGGGTAACTTTCCAGTTTTTTAGTTTATCTTTGCAGAGCAAGTCGATTGCAAAGTTTGGAACGCTTACTCAGAAAGATCTGATAACAAAAGAGTAATCGGAGCTAGCACAAAAATATCAATCTTTATGTTTGTGAAATATTTTTAAATATGAAAAGAAGAAAAACCCGTTGTTTTCAGACAGCTAATGCAAGCATTTACAGATACACATGCAACACGGAGCATAATGTTTAGATGTTTCTCCATATACAACATATGCTCTCAGGTCACTTAACAGAATGCGTTCTACAGAACGCTTCTTCAATACAAATGAATGAGTTCTGAATTAAACAGCTATTTCTTAAGAGCATTTCATTCAAATCTTTTCTTTTTGCCACCTGGCACTTGTTTTGTCTGAACAAAAATCAGCGGCGCTCCTTTGGGCTGTGCTGCTCAGGGTGGTTCTGAGCAGGGCTGAGCGGTGCAGCGCGTACAGCTGCTCCTGCAAAGCATCTGCACCGAGTTCTGGTTCACATTTTTTGTTAAATTTATGAATTTATGAGAACTAATAGCTTTGTTACGATGAGAAAGGAAAACAGAAATGCTTCACATTTTTTAGGATGCTTTAATGGGTCTACAAACTTGTAAATATTTTATCATGGAAAACTGGAGCACTGCAGATGTTCCTGTGTCTGAAGGAGTGACGTGTGCTGCGAGCTCTCTTGTGGCAAGTGCATGAGGGCTCATAGGGCAAGTTTTGCTTTCCGTGTCATCTCTGGGTACAAGGAGGTGGAGTGGTGCAAAATTATTTTGGTGTTAGCAGTCTTCTAAAACGGAGACGTACAACTCACACTGATGTTTCTCTTTGTAATCATGAAGCAAGATACTTTCCAAACAGCAAAAGCAGTACAGGTGGCTCCTTTGGGACCACCTATGGAAGAAGTGTATAAGAATGTAGATATGTGTGGGAAAAATCAACCCCAGGCCTCACCTAAGAGGGAAGGCAAACTTTCATGTGGGATTTTGGCACCTGCTGGGGTGGGAGGAATTGCCTTCCTGTCACTGCTGGCTCCACAGGAGATTGGCCCTGTACAGAAATGGATGGCTTATGGCAGAGTTGAGTGGAATGGGCAGGGTTTTTGTGGGCTCCTGTAACACCTGGCATAGTCCTGAAGGTCCTCTGGGTCATCAGACTTTCTGAGGACACAGAAGCGGGTGATTGGCTTGAAGTCAGGCAGCAGTGCTCATGAACTTGCTTCCAAGGTGCCCACGGGGCCAGAAGTGAGGGGCTGAAAGCCTGGGAGCAGGGCAGCAGGTACATCTGGCAGCATCTCTGGTGACTCCTGGGCACCCTTCCGAACACGTGCGTGGTGCAAAGCGGGTGCCAGAGCAGAAACGAGCTGCAGGTCAGGCTGAGCCAGGGAGGCTGGGGCAGGACGCGTGTAGTGATGGGGCAGCTTGGTTACCAGGGAGCAAGAAATAAAGTCGTGGGGACAGACTGCCTGTTAACATAGATGATCACAGCTTTAGCCGCTTCAGTGGTTTCTGATGTCTGCAGAAATAGAAGGCTTGATGCTTCAGTTCTAGTCAGGTTTTTTCAGCTTATAAAATAAATATTATTTATTATGATGTATTTTCATCCTTGGGACTGTTCATTAAAGTGTTCTTCATGTTGTTAGTAGAGAAAGAATAATACGAATTGAACAAAGAGAATGATTATGAAGTTGAATGCTGATAGGCAGCAGCAAGACACCAAGTGCTGTGCTGCAGGAATACAAACCTCCCTCCATCAATAGCGAGATCCACCTTGCTACTGTACCTTCAAGTCCTGCCCCCCCGAGTGTATTAACGTGGGATCTTTTGTCTAACTCAGAATGCTTTTGAATTTATAGGAGGGATGACTTTAATAGTAATTTGTTGGCAGATTAGCTACAGAGATTGCAAAGAGTTTATTTTGCAGAACTGGCAGGCTCGTATCAGTGTTCGCTTAAGGAAAAAAACACACATTGCTGTTTTGCAATTGCTTGCGTTTATTGACAACCTGCGCTGAGCAGGCAGAATTGGAATGTTTGTAGAATGTGAACCTATAGCTTGTCTGATGAAGTGTAGTGTACTCTTAGGTAGTGCATAGATGGCTTGATAAGAGGGGTTACGAGGTGACTGCGTTTATGACAAACCGGAACAACAGTATGGATGCAACTGGTGCATGGAGAAACGAGGAGGAAGTTTATATAAAGAACTGTAGGGAAGTTTCTTGCCTTCACTTTTACCTATGAGCTGAACTACACTCGTTATGAAGTGTCGTTTTGTACTTTCTGGAGAGTAAATACCAATTTTGCATGTATCCACAAAAAAAAAGTTGTTGTATATAATTTTCAGTGCATCCTAGTTTGTATTTTTCACTCTTCTATTCCATACAAATGAGAAAAGCAGTTTTGTTTATGTACAGGACTGGGTTCTGGTATCTGTGCCCAAGCCAATGCTTTCTTCGCCGTCGGTCACACCGACTGTCCTTGCAGCGTTGGTGGCATCACATGAAGATGGCACAGCTTGGCTCTTTAGCTGCAGTTGTTTCTAGAACAGTTGAGATGAGAAGTGTTAGACTGAGGAGAGCAAACCTCAGAGGGAATATATGGCTTCTTCAGATTTTGCTCATGTCCAAAGGTGAGGAGAATGTATGTGAAGTGGAGGGCTCGGTGTATTGTCGAGAGATCAAAGAGACAATTAGACTAGAAAGAATTCTGACTGTATCACGGTGTAAATTAAAGTAATGAATGCAATGGTATTTTTTTAAATAGGCTGCTGAGTTTCATCTTTTTTCTCCCTTGAGGAGAGGTTACAAACTGCATCAGGAGTTTTATGGTCCCATTGATCATGGTGTGGACTTATCTCCTCCGAACAAAACTCTAAACCAGATCCTAGATAAAGCCTTTGTTTCGTATTGACATAACTGGGTTGGACCAAATTTGTTTGTTAGACTTTAAGGGAGCGTCCATGTTGAGTCATTTTGACCAAAGAGACATAAAGCCTAATTGTTAAACTGCTGTTGCTATTGAAAGAGCCATTGGGGAGCGTAGTTTAAACTGCATGCAGGCTGTTGGGAAGGTGTCTGATTTTGCATTGCAGCACGGTGGTAATTGATGGTTACATCATGAAAAGATTGCTGCATTTGTATGGCTCTGCTCTTGTATCAGAGAATGTGAAAACCAACTTCATGCTCCTGGTAACTTCGTGCTTTTATCATTCAGACTTTTCCTTCAAGTTCTCCGATCTCCCATCATTGAATGGAAGGTGACATGATGTCTTTTTAGTCATTCAAATCTAATA